TGATGTACTACTCACCCTGAGGAGTGACTGCCAGATAAAATACCTCAGTGGCTAAATAAAAGTAACTTGCAGCAGCTATTCAGTTTCTAGAATTAGGTTGTATTTGGTTTCTTGCTGAGGAAATAATGTTAATAGGTAAAGGAGCTAATATTCAATGGTGTCTGTAAGACCCAGCCACTGTGGCCAGCACAGACCATTTGTCTTTAACTCTGTAAGGCATACTCTTCTCGTGCTCACTGGTTAGATGCGGAAAAGAAGTGGAAAGATTATACACCTGATTCAACCTCAAAAGGCCTGTGATGGCATCTGCTGGCTCTGGGTGCAGCCAACCCTGGTGCCCGTGTCATTTCCGCACTGTTTTACTCGACACAATGGTGTCTCCTGTGGTGTCTCCCAGGCTGTATGTCGCCCGCTACTGGAAGCCTGGCACAGATTGTCGGGGGGTGGCAAGTGTTAATACTGGCTCCTATTAAACTGGCATGTATCTTGTTTGTCACAAAAAACAAATAGTAGCTCCCTACAAGAGTAAGGTCTCATGTCTTGTCCTCATCTGGATTCCAAATAGACCGTTGGGTTGAAGTTTCAAAGAGGCAGATTTTGAATCCTCCCTGTGAAAAGCTTCAGGACCATCAGAGTGGTTGAGCCGGCTCGAGAGGGAGAGAGAGAGAGAGAGGGGAGAGGGAGAGGGAGACGGGGCCTCGCCTGTCACAGAGGCCATGCCTGTTACAGAAGAGTCACCCAGAGGCAGAGGACCACATGGAAAACCTGCTTGTGGACTCACTGGGTGCCAGGTTCATCTGACGACCTTGTTAGTAGCCTTCTAGCTAAATGCTCCAGCTCTTTAAATCATGGCTCCAAGGTTGCTCTTAATTTTTTTTTTTTTTTTTAAGGTTGCTCTTAATTTTTAAGGAACATCTTGGAGTAATGGAAACAGATTGAGCAAGTAGATGTCAAAAAGGAGAGTGTGATTTATTACGTCAGGAGAGCCAATTTAGGTTGGGGAAAGAGTTATAGGAGAAATGTAGTCTGTTTATTTTTAAGTGTTTTCATTAAAAACATGAACACATGCTTATTATATAAAGAAAAATCTGTAATAAGGAGAAAAAGTGAGTCACTCCCCTCCCCTTCCTGTAAGGTAACCAACCACTGCTGATCAGGTGTGTCTTTCCAGACATTTATCTACACTTACAGACCCGGAGTGTAGAATCTGAGGGAAAGCTTGTGTTTGCTTGTTTTCCCCCCATATAAGTAGGACTTTTGTAGTGTATGTAGCACATTTATATACATATGGTGTATATACAACATATATATAGTATTTCTGTGTATGTAGATCATGTATTTCTGTAGTTTGCTTTGTAAATTTCATAACAGATGTAGTTCTTTCCATGCCGTTACATATAGACATACCACATTCTTGTAAACATCTAGGAAGTGTTTCATAGTTGGGCTTTTTCGTAATTCAGCCATTTTCCCGTGAGTGACGTGCCGATTGCCCGCTGTGTCTTCTCTCACAGCAGTGCTGCGGTGAGCTTTCTGTGCACCCATGCAAGGTGCATTGTGAATTTTAATAACAGGGTGCCCTCCAGAAAGCGTCCTTACTTGCACCAAAACCCCCTCCCCACTGTCTTCCCAGCACCAGGTGAAGCAACCTTTCGAAGTCACCAGGGAGGTGGCTAAACCATTGTTTCTTGATAATTAATGAGACATGTTGTAGTTGATTCATGGGCCATTCCATTTGTACATTTTCTGTGAACTCTGAAATTACTTTCTTTTCTGCCCATTGATCTTACGGCTTTATTATTTTGATTCCTAAAGCGTACTTTATAGTAAAGACATTAACCGTTTGTCCATTTATATCTGTTGTGGATATTGTCTCCTAATCCATACTACATCTTCTAACTTGGCTGATTCTTTTCTTTTGCCATGGAAAAACACTAGGGATTATGTTGTGAAATCTTTCAGTGTTTTCCTTTCTGACTCGTGGGTTCTGTGGCTTTCTTAGAAAAGCTGTCTCCCATCCTAAACTTAAAAACAATTAAAAAGTTAAAAAAAACTTACCTATAATTTTTTCCCTTCTTTTTTGTTGGCTTTTATGGTAGATCCTTAATCTGTTTGAAAATTTAATAATGTCTAAGTGCTTAAAACAAACAAGGCAGAGGTTTAGATTTAAGCTAATGTCTGTTGATGCTTTTCAAAAGAGAGGTGTTTGTCGTTTCTAGTAACTTTTGTTTTTTCAGCTGTAAGTATTGTAAGCCTAGCATTCTGAGCCTGTTTGTATGTTTATCTAGTTTTGTCTTATTTTGACTTGTGTGAGAAGGATATCCTGTGATCTCTACTCTGGATTTAGAAGAGCCAAATTTTGTGTATACCAGGTTGCCCTAAAATGGGAATGGGAAGACAAAGGAGACAGGAGAAGAAGAGGTGGGAGCAAACAGAGAAAAGTAATTTTGAAAAGTGTCTATATTAAAAAAAGTCAAAGGCAGCCCTGCGCTTTGGGGATGATCATGTGCCTGAGGTTGTCGAAGCCAACCCTTTATTCTTTTTTCTTTTTATTTTTTTACAGAGAGAGAGAGAGAGAGAGAGAGAGAGAGAGTACACGCAAGTGGGGGAGAGGGACAGAGAGAGAGAGAGATTGAATCCCAAGCAGGCATCACACTCAGCACAGAACCTAACACAGGTTGATCCCACGACCCTGAGATCATGACCTGATCCGAAATCAAGAGTTGGACACTCAGCCACCTGAGCCACCCAGGCACCCCCACAGCCCTTTATTCTTATCCCTAGTTATGCGTGTCCTTCCATGTGGCCGTTGGAACAGAGCTTCCATTAGCTTTAGCTCATTATAGTAGCTGATGCAGACTTTACAAGTTCCCCACGGCGTTTGCTAGTCAAGATGACCTTGGCGATTTCTAATAGGGATTCATTTGAAGTTCACTGCAGATACTTATCTAAAATTAGAAATTAAACCTTCTTCTGATGTCTATTCCATAGTGATAAGTCCACATCTGAAAGCCGCAGGGGAGTCCTTGGATATTACACGTAGCTAGTTTGGAAGCTCCCTGCCCCGATGGCCAACTGTGGACTCGAAGCACAGGGTTCTGAAATCTCCATCCTGGGGAAGCCGAGCCCGTGGGCCCATGGGGTCTGTGTCACCTGTGTGTTTTCGTCTCCTCCATCCTCTGTGGATATTCTTTGCTCACTTTTTCCCTGTTTTAACCATTCCCCTCACCTTGTGTGTTGGTCCTGTGTCCATTTGACTTAACCCACTAGTCTCTGATTGTTCCTTGCCTTATTTTTTTTTTTTTTTAATAGCCTCCTTGCTTTCTGACTGACTTTTTGTTTTTCACTCCAGATCAGGAATCGTCCACTTTGTCTAGGAAACGCTGGTTCCCTTGGCAGGAATGGTATTTAGCAGCCAAAGCCTGGGGACTAATCTGCTTATTGCTGTTGGGCTGTCGTTGCTTCGTGTCCCTTCAGTGAAGTGCTGGCACATATGTATTCTTACAAGGGAGCAAATCCTGAGAGCCCACCGTTACTTCTGATTCAGGTTTAGCACTCGGGATTTTGACCCCTCTTCTCTTACACTGGAAGTCTTGGTTCCTAACCCACATCAACATAATTGCTCCCTTACACTGTCCTGTAGCATCTGTATAAAACTGTTCAAAAGGACGATACCACTGCTACTAGTAACAGCCAAGTTACAAAGTGATGTCGGAGATCCATCTTTTTTATTTGTTGAGCTTTTGTTTTTGTTTTTCTGTTCGGCTTCTCTTCTGAGACGTACATTCTGTATACTGTGTTTTAAAGTCCCTCGAAATAATCCTGTCCCCCGTAGGATTATGTCACCAACTCTACGTATAGTCTTATTTGTTTTAGTTTGATTCTCAGTTTTTGTGTCCAGTTTCATTTTTTAAGACGTAAGACATGTCCATTTCCAGAATAGAAGTTGTATAACGAGATGTATTCAGAGATGCCTCACTGTTCCCTGTACCCTGTTCCCTTCATCCTCAAAATAATACTAGTGTTTGGTTTCATTGTTTCTACTTCACATGCAGGCGGATCCACGTAACCCATATTCTACACACGCACAGGCTCACTCTCTACCTGTGCTTTTCGGCGCCTTGCTTTTCCAGTCGGTCTCCTTTAGAGAGCTGGAGGCATGTTTGAAAAGGCACACTGGCCGTTACGTAACCCACATTTGTTGACTTAACAGCATTCAGAATGCACAAGCTAACCAGAATTTTTTAAATGTTTGTTTTTAATCGGTGTGGTGTCATTTCTTATTTCATGCTCTTGAGAAAAATAAAAAAATAAAATAGAAGTAATAACTGAATTTTTTAATTCAGAATTTGGGTATAAACCATAAAAGTTATTCATCCATTCATCATACACGCACATAACTATTCGTGTACAGTGTGAGCCCTTATCCTTCTAGGCTCTTGTCTGTCTGCACTCAGACATTTGCTATTGATATTTAACTTTTGAGTTGTTACATTAGTAATTTTTAAATTATTATACTAATATCTCTCCTTTGCCAGTTTCTAGACATCAAGACAGACTTGATAAATTCTTAGCCTCTGGTATCAAAATGACAAAGGAAGCACTCACTTTCCTTAGCTTTGTTTCTAAAAATGGACCTGAGGAAAAACCAGTTGTTAAATATAAATTTTGTTAAACATAAATTAATTACTTTTAAAGATGAACTGGTAAGATACATTTATTAATTGTAAATTGCTCAAAGACGGTCCATTGAATTTTGTCTTTGGAGCTATCATCACTTGTCTTGAAAGTTGGGATGGGGGGGCGCCTGGGTGGCGCAGTCGGTTAAGCGTCCGACTTCAGCCAGGTCACAATCTCACGGTCCGTGAGTT